CTTGATAAGTCAGTCGCCTAGTAAAGTTGGTCGACTAGCCACTGGGTGAATTATCCTGTCACCAACAGCTAAGTTTGTGTTGGGCCACTAACCACAAGATGGGCAGTTCAAAACCACCAGCCGCTCCAAGGGAGAAAGATGAGGCTTTCTACTCCCATATAGAGTTTCAGTCTTGGAAACTCATAGGGGCAGTTCTACCTGCCCTAGTGGCTCGCTATGAGTCAACATCGACTCAATGACAGCGAGTGAAATCTAATTTGGAGACTCCATTTCTAGCTAACAACCTCAGATCCTTCCCACTCTGGGTCTCGAGAGTCCCAGGAAATCCAGGCGCATGAGGCAGCCTGTGCTTCCTCTTGGGTGTTCTCCCTAGGAACTTCCCTATATTGTGTGTTCCCTAGTGGCACAGTGGATGAAGCGCTGGGCTGCTAACCAAAGGATCAGCGGTTTGAACCCCTCAGCCACTTCACGGGAGAAGGCTGAGACCCTGGCAGCAGTTCAGCCCTGTCCTGCGGGGGTTTGGGCGTGAGGTTCTCATTCAGGACAGGGTGTCCAGGGCAGGGCGGAACAGGAAAGGCCTCTCAACTGCCCCGCTCGCCTTGGACAATGGGCTCTGAGCCTCTCTTTCCCACTGAGCCGCAGTCTCTCATCTGTACCGTGGAGGAAATAATGCCCCGTGGAGTGGTCGGGATGATTCCGCACTCAGCTCCGGAGCCCTCACTTGGCCAAGCGGCAGGCTGTGAGCCGTTCCACTCTTGGGCCACTGAGCTGGAGGCGTGGCCAGCACTGCCCCATTTCCTCATCACACAGTCTATGGGAGAGGCCTTGCCCACATCCCGAGGGCGGTGGCGGGGACCCGCACAGGGACTGGGTTGTCGAATCTGGGTGTGTGGCATCTGTACTGTATGTTTACAGGTTGGCTGGTGACCCCCTGGACACCCCTCACTCACCCTGACCTGCTTCCGCCCTCAGGTGTTCCAGCAATACCCCGAGTCCTGCCCACTCATCATCAAGATCCAGGTGCCAAACCCACCCTCGGTGACACTGCAGAAGGACGAGGCGCTGGTGAAGGTGTTTGCCACGGCTGAGGTCATGGTCTCCCAGCCCAATGATGTGGAGACCACCATCTGTCTCATTGATGTGGTGAGCTCTGGGGGTGGGCCACCTGCAGCTGGGCCTCAAGACAGTGCCATGTGGTCTCCTGGGGCCCCCAGGTGCCTCCCAGCCTCCGCGGTCCCCCGTGTGGCCACTGTGAGGCTAGCTTTGGGGGCCAGATGAGCTCGTTCAAACCCAGCCGTGACTAACTTCTAGCCGTTGCTACTTCCAGAGGGGCCACACTGGGCCTGATTTCTCCTCTATCACAGGGAGATGGCAGTAGACATCGAGGAGGCTCACAGCGGTATCTGGCATCAAGCAGATGCACTCAAACCGTTGTCAATTCAGGTTGGATGCCACAGTATGTGGCACCAAACAGACCTTGGCCTTTCCTTCGGCAATAACTTGTGAGCCCCTTCTACATGCTAGGCTTTCTCCTTGATGTGGAAGTCCCGCGCTCTCAGAGGTCACTCTCTCCGGGAACGGATCCACAACCAGTGGCCCCCATTATTTCGTAGAAAGGCATCCTCCCTGAATGTAAATCATGCTACTCCCCGGCTCAAAAGGTTCCCCTTCTGTCCCGGAATCAAACCCAAGCTCCACACCATGATTCATCCAGTTCTCCAACATCAGCTCCCAGTCGCCTCTCAGCTCCTCCTCATTCTTCTAATACGCCAGGCACCTCCGGGCCTTTGCACATGCTATTCCCCCGAGCCTGGGACACTTCCCTCAGACGGCTGCATGGCCTGTTCTCTCACTTCCTTCAGGTCTCTGCTCAAATGTCCCCTCTGCAGAGAAGCCTTTCAGGGAGACCGCCATCCTCCCATCACGGCCTTGCACGGCCTGCATGGGTTTCTTGGCTCATCACGCTCGCCAGCTGTTACAAAACACACGGGCTTGTTAGTTCCCTGCTGGGCAGAGGCCACCTGTCTTGTTCACGGCTGGATCTCCAGGACCCAGCACCCAATAGATGCTCAGTCGATATTTTCAAATGAAGACACAATACAGGTTATAGTGCTATTTCCCTCTCTGTGGCGAAGACACCAGGCTTTGGCCTCTGACTGTTGGGGTTCTGGTCCCACCTGCGATGTCTTCCCGGTCCTGCCTACCTCCCAGGGCTCAAGACCACATGGGCCAGCCACCTCTTGTCTGGGAAGTGGGCATTCCTGGCTGGAGTATGCCAAGCCGTGGCGGGTGGGCAGGTGGGCGAGAGGGTCCTTTCTACTCCTGCAAGTTGCAGAATCCGAGTGTCATCCACAGTCTCACCTCAGACCCAGTTTCCCCTTGACAAGCCCTTATGATACTAGGTTACTCTTCCCTATCAGCCCAGAGGTTTGTGTGAGCCAGCTCAGAACTGAGCCTCCAGGACTCCCTACTGCCTTGATCCCTCCCTGGCCACCAGACGGGGCCTGCTCAGCCCCGCCCAGCTTTGATGCCATCAAACCTCTTACCTGCTTGTTCTCTGTCTTATCTCTCCTGCCCCAGGCTTTTGCACAAGCACTTCCTGCTGCCTGGATCATTCTCCTGCCCTCCCCCGCCCCCGCAAAGAAGGCCATTCCCACTAAGCAGTCACTCCCCACACCCCTTTCCCCTTTCCCCCACTCCCTGGCCACCGCGGATCCAACTTTGGTCCGTGTGTGCCTGCCTCTTCTGGGTATTTAATATAAGGGAGCTCCCACAACATTTGGCCCTTTGTGTCTGACAGCTTTCACTCGTCTTAATGTTTTCAAGCCCATCCACACTGTAGTCCTCTGTGAACTTGGCTAAAAACTTCGCTCCTCTGCAGGCCCCATACGTCTACGCTGCGTGCTTCCCACCCGTTCATTTGCTGCTGTAATTCCAGTGGCGTCCACTTTCTGGCCATGGTGAATAATGCTGCCGCGAACCGTTCTGGTGTTGTCTGTGTTTAAGTCCCTGTGGGTGCATACCTAGGAGAGGCATCGCAGGGCTCGTTACTGGTCAGACGTTTTCTGTTTCCGTTTACTAACTAGTAAGGAAACCCTCCCCGCAGTTTCTATGTCCTAATCCCAGCGAGGTCCCCGGGACTCCAGTTTCCCCACATTCTCCTCCACTTGTATTTTCCATTTTTGTTCTTGTAGCTATTTTGGTTTGTTTCGGTTTTCAGGGTCACCCTAGCGGACCCCTCTCTTTGAGAACTGGCACGCCCCTTATACATTTGGGAAATCATCCTGCATCCCAATCACTGAGCCCCCCATGCAACGTGTGTACCATTGTCAATGCTGCCCATTCATTGCCGCCCATGCCAAGGATAGGAAAGGCCCCTTCATTCCGCAGCAAGGACTGTGGGAGGGAGGGTCAGCTTGCCCAGGGGATCTGAGGAGGCCTCCTCTGAGCGTGCTGTGAGACCAGCTGGGTGCCCAGGCAGGCCCTAGACGGTGCCTGGCTCACGGTGGACCCTTAGCAGCCTGGGGTGCTGACGCTCCTTTCTTCCCCTGCCCTCCAGGACACAGATCTCTTGGCCATGTTCTCCGTGGAAGGAGATAAGCTCATGATCGACGCCAAGCTGGACAAGTAAGGACGGTGCACTGCCTGGGCTCCTGTTCCGGCTTCGGCGCTGTGGTGGCGGTGGCTGACCAGCAGAGGGATGGCCGGGAAGGGGGAGATAGACGGTGACTGCCAAGTCTGCTACAGCACAAGCTAGGCAGAAGGGTGCGGGTGGGGGTGGAACCGTGGAGCTGAGGAGAAAGAGCTAGGGCTCACAACAACAACATCAATAAGAACCCTGAAGCTGGACCCACGCTCTTCTAGCGAGGTATTTGATAGGTGTTCGTAGGTTTAGACCTTGAAACAGTCTTGTGAAGTTAAGGCCGTTATTCCCCTCTTTGACAGAAGAGAAAACGAAAGCTCAGAAAGGTGCCGTTCCTTAGCCAAGGCCACACAGCAGTACATAACGGCGCTCTGAGCCGAGACAGACCGACCTGACCCAAACCTGTGTGAAGTCGTTCTAAGCACAGGTTTTGGAGCCAAGAAATCTGGACTCCAATCCTCATGTAACCACCAACTGGCTGTGTGACCTTGGCCAAGTGGTCTAGCCTCTCTGAGTCTCGGTTTTCTTATCTGAAACTGGGGACAATAGCCCCTACCCCACTGGGTTCATGCTAACTACTATTATTTATTGGATGCTATCCTATCCACATGCCAGGCAATGGGCCCGGTTCTTAATGAGCTTTAAGGTAGTCAATCATTGACCTCACCCTACAGAAGTAGTATTATTAATCTTATTTCAAGGTGATGTGTAAAACATATCAGCATGGGCCTAGTGGGTTTTAAGTTTTCTTTTTACAAAAACTATTTACCCAGCCTAACAGTGGGAAGTGTTCATGATATAATACTAATAGGAACCGCGTAGGAGTTTCGAAGGAGGAAATGTTCCACCTGAAGTTTGGATGACAGGGTCTGGAGGTGGGAAGTGGGGAGGTGGTCTTTGACAAGGAGAGCAGTGGGGAGGGGAGGGGAGGGGCCCACGAGGAGGGAGGAGTTGGGGGCAAACAGAGAAGACCTTCTGAGAAGGCCCTCCTCCCCTGAGAAGACGATTGTATCCTCTCCCACTGGGCGCTGAGCAGACCCTTCTGAATAGTCCCCTACTCTCTGCCCCCTGGGAGGGTGTGGTCCAGGTCCTCAGGTGGAGCCGTAGGTTTGCAGATGAGAGTCAAGTGCAGAGCAAGGCCTCAAACTCAGGGCCCGGGCCACCTTCCTCAGAACAGCAGAGTGGCTGAGAACTCAGGGCTGCGGAGTGAGTCCTGATTCTATCCCTCCTGAGCTCTGTGGTCTAGACCTGACCCCAAGAACCCCAGGCCCCCTAGAAGCACGGAGCTGCAGTAAGGATCAAGCCAGGTGGTGACCATTATGCTGAGCTCGGTTCTGAGCACTTTACTCGAAGGACCTCCTTTAGTGATTGTATCCGCCCGCCCACTTTGCAGATGAGATAACCGAGGCCCAGAGAGGTTAAGGACTCTGGCCAAGGCCCCATCGCTTCTTAGTGGGAGCTGCAGTGGAGCTGATGCGGCTTAGGTCCGCCCCGTGTGTGCAAAGCAGAACGGCTCAGTAGGGTCTTTGGAAGATGTGACCTTTAGAAGCCAATTGCCAGGCTTATCTCTGAGTGGGTTTGAATGTCAATCTACAAGCATGTGCTCCGCCCGGGGACACCTGCCCCATGGCTTGCAGGTGGCAAAGCTATGGCTTGGAACTCACGCACAGACTATGGTATCTAAATGAACTTACGGAAATGCAAGCAACTGAGGAGCCCTGGGGGTGTAATGGTTCCGAGTTGGCCAGCGATTGGTGTGGTCAGCAGTTCAAACCCACCAACAGCTCCGAGGGAGGAAGACTGGGCTCTCTACTCCCGTGAACAGTCCCATCTTGGAGACCCGCGGGGGGCTGCGATGAGTCAGCCTGGATTCGATGGCAGTGAGTCATTGTTTCATGTGTGATTCGTGGCTAACTGCTGCTCCCACTGACTGCTTTTTCTGCAGGACCAGCCTCAACCTCAGAACCTCAAATGTGGGCAACTTTGACGTAAGTCCTAAGTCCGAGTCCCGGGAGTGGCACCTGGGAAGTCGAAGGGCCTCACTGTGGGGCTGGTGGGGGGCCTGAGAAGTCAGTGTGAGTCCCATAATGCCTGCCCCCGAGTCATTAGGCCCTGGGCTGAGGACTCTTGACTTTCCCTGGTTGCCTGTGGGGCTGTCCTACTGTGATTGGTAGCCTGGGGATGGGGGAGAGGGCTTGGCCTAAATAGCTCCACTCTGTGATGGGGAGACGACAGGACTGCCATGTTCTTGGGGCTCCTTTGCCTTGTGACCCTGGACAGGACCAACTCACTCTCATTGAGCCTCAGTTTCCTCCTCTGCCAAATGGATGGGTTTGGATGTGTTTCTAACCGCCCTGCTTACCCAGGGGCCGTAGAATTCTACCTGTCTAGGAGCCCGTGTGTCTGAGATGCTCACATTCTCGCATCTCATCCTATTTCACATCCTGTTCATGCTGGGGTCGCCCATCCCTCCCTGGGCTTTCATCATACCCGTCTTATCTTTGACCAATGGTCGGCTTGGCAGAAACTCCCGCTGAGTGTTCAAGTCCTTAAGTCTGCAGAGGGGAGTGAGAGCCCCTGGTGTCCAAGCATTGCCCACCCCATGATCCCTGCAACCTCTGGGCTGGGGCTCAGTACTTGCCTTTTAGAGGTGGAGAAACAGGTGCCCAGGGAGAGATGGTGTCTTGCCCGAGATCTCACAGGTGGTTGGGACAGACTTGGCGCTAGAACTGAAGTCCCTAGACTCCAAGTGGAGAGAGGCGCTCACACGCATTGTCGAATGAGTGGATTTTGATGGCGTTACCTTAAGCTTTTACATTTTTAGTTTTTTAAACGTTTCCTCATCTAATCCTCCGTTCCAAGTTAAGTGCCTTGCCTCAGTATACAGAGCTAGCACGAAGGTGGCATGGGGATTTGGGTCCCAGGCTCTTACCACTGTGAGGACCCAGCCAAGCAGCTATCTTACGGGCAGCCAATCACCTTCAATGGAACTCCCATGGTGGTGTGGTGCTGAGGCGTTAGGCTGCTAACTGCAAGGTCAGCTGTTCGAAACTACTAGCCACTCTGAGCGAGAAAGAAGAGGCTTTCTACTCCGCAAACCATTACAGGCTTGGAAAGTCACAGGAGCAGTTCTGACTTGTGCTAGGGCAGTGGGTCTCAACCTTCCTCATGCCACGGCCCTTCCATACTGTTCCTCATGGTGTGGTGACCCCCTGAACCGTAACGTTATTTTCGTTGCTTCTTCATCACTGTCATTTTGCTACTGTTATGAATCGGGCGACCCCTGGGAAAGGGTCGTTCCACCCCCAAAGGGGGTGCGGCCCACAAGTTGAGAACTGCTGTCCTAGAGGGTCCCTGTGAGTCGTTGACTCGATGGCAGTGAGTTTTTGAGTTGCCCTCTGGTCGTTTCCAACTCCCAGTGACCCCAGTGGTGTGTCAGAGAGGGCTTCCAATGGCAGAGTTCTCATGGTTGCCACACCCTTCTTCCGAGTTGCCTGGGGATGGACTAGAACTGCCAACCATCTGGTTAGCAGCCAAGCCCATCAGGCGTTTGCATCACCCGCCTCACCCCAGGGACTTCATTGGATAGGCACAGCCGTCCTCGGGCTAAGAACTCCTCACTCCCATTTTCAGATGTGGACACTGAGGCTTAGCGAAGTGAAGGGCGAAGATTCAGGCCGAGGCCAGGCCTTCTGATTGATTTGCCTGGAATCCTTCCCTCATCCTGGCAAGCTGGACTTCCAACTTCCCACCTGCTGTGGGGTCCCTCCCCACCTGTGGCCCCACGGGACTCAGAGGAGAAGAGGGCTCTGGGAGGAACGGTCGGGAACAGGCCATCAGGCTGGCCCTTCAAGGTGCCTCTGGGTGGATGTGAGCCAGCAAGTTCTTAACTGTCCCTGCCGCTCCAGGACTCCGAACTGGGCTTGCTAGCCCACTGCCAGTCAGCAGGGAAACTGAGGATCGGAGGTCCCCCAGGGATGGACTCAACGAGCCCTTGGGTCTGAGCAAACCCACTGCCTAGTCTCACTTCTTGTTCTTCCACCACAGGTTGGCCTCATGGAGGTTCTTGTTGGGAAGATTTTTGACCTGGCGTTTATGCCCGCCATGAACGGTGAGCGAGGGCACTGTGCTTCCCCAGGGACAGGCGGTGTGGGGGCTGGGCGGCCACTGGCTGGTCGGGCCTGCTTAGCGTGTGACTCTCCCGCTTCGATAAGTTATGATGAGAACATCACGCTAAGCTTATTTATTTAATACGCTTCCACATGCGAATGCTGTCCCAAGGGCCTTTCGGCTTACTCATTTGTTCCCTCTGCGTTACTGTTTTCTTTCTTACTCTTTCTTTTTGGCTGGTTTTGTGTTGTTCATGACATGTGTCTGTCTATCTGCACAGGGAAATTGTACATGTGTACACTGTAGGAAGGGACAAACCAGCTACCTAGATACGGACGTCCACCTCCAAAGGCAGCGCTTTCCTCCCAGGAAGTCCTCCTCCACATTTCCCAGACAGTTACTTTTAGATTTCTTTTTCCTTTATTGTGGTGAAAACAGGACACCAGAACCTCAGTGTCCCCAGCACCACGACGCACGCACGTACCACGCAATGGCGTGGAGAGCCTTTGTTGTGCCGTGCCGCTTGACAGCTGTCCCTTCCCACAGAGAGTCAGTCCAGCCTGGAACGGAACCCAGCCCAGGGACCCACTCTCAAATAGACAGGCCTATTAAGTGAGCACAGGGCAGAGTGGTCACAAGGTCAGCAGTTTGAAACCGTCAGCTGCTCTGCTCCTGTAAAGAGTGGCAGTCCTGGAAAGCTCTCGGGGGCAGTTCTGCCTGGTCCTGTAGGGCTGGATGGCAGCGAGTGCGTTGAGATTCCGGGAGCAATGACACCCGGGAGGAATGAGTGTATGCCCATCAACCACAGGAGACGCAGAGGGCAGGGTTTGCCCCAGAACCAAGCTGAGAAGGCAGGGAGGGGCGGGAGGGGGGGCGGTGATGAGAAGCCGAGCCCGGAGCCCAGGGAGGAGGTGGAAGGAGCAGCAAGGACAAAGACGTCCAGACATCAAAGCAACTCCCAGGCTCCTTGTAGGTACTGGGGGATGTTGTCCACAGCACCTGCCCCCCGCCCCCACTGTGCTCACCTTGCCTGTCTTTTTGTTTTGTGTCCCCCTTTCCCCGCCCACCTACAGCCATGCTGGGCAATGGAGTTCCTCTCCCCAAAATCCTCAACATTGACTTCAGCAATGCAGATATTGACGTCTTGGAGGTGAGGGGGCGCCGGCTCTGTTGGGCTTTCTCCTCCTGCCCTTTGTCCATCAGCCTCGGCGGCTCCAGCTGTTGGGTCATACGTTGGGGGGCCGGGGGAGGAAAAGAGGATCAGGAGAGTCTCCTTTCAAAGTGTTAAGCACGAGGGATAAGAAACCAAGCTGCAAGATTCCTTAGAGGAAGCCTGCCACATCATGAACCGACGGTACCCTCACACGCCAGAGTCCGTAGCTCCGTCTTACAGAGGCGGAAATGGAGTCTCAGAGTGGCTAAGGGGCTAGAAGTCATTGCATAGTTGTACACGTGACAGGCGCCTGGACGTTCAAGTGCAGGGACTCTGGTGTGCACTGCCCCAAACCACAGGTTCTCAGGCCTGACATCTGGGGGTAGAGAGGTGGGAGGAGGGGGAGAAATACTACTCAAGCATAGATGTCTTCTAGGTGCGTCTGTAAGCCACAAGTCGCCGCTTGAGACTTTTGGCTGTTTTTCATTCCAGGTTTTCTGGCATTTTCTTTTCCGACCCGGCTTTGCTCAGGGAGTCAGGAGAGCAGTGGGGGTAAAGAATGAGGGTACTGGAGCCTAATGACTTGGGTCCAAATTCCAGCCCTGCCGATGTCCAGCCAGGTGGCTTCTCTGAGCCTCAGTGTCGTCCTCTGTAACAAGGAGCTATTCACGGTGCTTACTCGTTGGGCGGCCTCTAGGATAGAAAGCGATTGCACAAAGCACCGTATGCAATCCCTGGCACATTGTAAGTGGCCTAGAGATGCCCATCACTATCCATTTCGTCCTTCTAGCCGGGTGCCCCAGTGTCCTGGATACAGAATTTCATTTCTTGGAACAGAGTCCCAGGAGTGAAATGACTGGACCTTTACCCTAGAGGGACAATTTCCTCTCCAAAAGGTTGCACCCATTTGCATCACCGGCAGCAGTGTCCTGAGCATCCTGCTGTATGCCAGGTCTAAGCCTTGGCCCAGGAGGAAGTGCACCTCACCTGCAGGGGAGGCGTGCGGCGACTTTGGAAGGGTAGTGCAGGCAGAGGTCAAGTGCCAGCTCTGGGATAATCCCTAGGGGTCCCCAGCCTGGTTCCACCAGCTGTACCTCCACACTGCTCTGAGCCTCTTTTTCCACATCTGATAACAGGGAAGCAAGGAAACCCACCATCGGGAGTTTGTGGTGAGAAACGGAGTGGGAGGAATGGTTAACTGCTGTGGTTTCCTTAAAAGGAGGGGCTAGGAAATGCGAGTAGCCCCAGTGGGGTGGTGAATTAGGAGTTGGGTTGCTAAGGGGAAGATCAGCAGTTTGAAACCACCAGCTGCTCCACGGGAGAAAGATGAGGCTTTCCACTCCCGTAATGATTTACTGTCTCAGAAACCCATAAGGCCAGTTCTGCTCTGTCCTGTAGGGTCACTGTGAGTCAGAACCGACTTGATGCTTAACAGCCCATAGGACCGGGTGGAACTGCCCCCTACAGTTCCCAAGGCTGTAGATCCTTATGGAAGCAGACCGCCATCTCTTTCTTCTGAGGAACGGCTGCTAGGGTCCGCCACTAACTTTTTGGCTAGCAGGGGAAATGCTTAACCCACTGTGTCACCAACTGCAGGAAGATCACAGCCCAGTGGGTGGGAAGTCTTGTGGATCCAGTGGTATTGTAAGCATCTCAGCACCGGCTGGGGGCTCCACATAGCTTCTCCAGCTCTGAGGCTCTGGCTGCCATCTGTCTGTCTCCATGTGGGTTGTCAACAAGAATGTCTCGCAGGGACTGAGCAGAGAGAGAGTGTGTCTCCTGCCTCCAAGGAGGAAGGCAGGAGTTCGCAGAATCCTCAGGAGAAGGCCATGCCCACACAGAGGCCTCATTGGCTATGACCTGATTGACAGGCTTCACTCTTACTCCTCTCAAATTGACAAACAATTATATAACTACCACAACTATTTTGTTAAAAAAAAAAAAAAAAAGAGCCTCAGTAGAGGCTCAGGAATATCTATTTTGTGCTCAGGGTTGTGATCCATTACTTTTTTTCCCCTTTGTTAAAACAGTTTTATTAGCCCTTCATCTACATGTCATACAAGTCAAGAACTCAATCATATCAAGAAGAGTTGTACACTTATACCCCACATTCAATTCTAGAACATTTTCTTTTCTTTTTTATTGCTAATGCTTTTTATTTTTATAATTAAAAAAATCATTTATTGGGGGCTCATACAACTCTTATCACAATCCATCCATCCATTGTGTCAAGCACATTTGTACATTTGTTGTCATCATCATTTTCAAAACATTTTCTTTCTACGTGAGCCTTTGGTATTAGCTTCTCATTTTTTCACCTCCCTCACCCCACCTTCCTTCACGGACCCTTGATAATTTATAAATTATTATTATTTTTTCATGTCGTATACTGACCGATGTCTCCCTTCACCACTTTTCTGTCGTCCATCCCCCAGGGAGGGGGTTATATGTAGATCATTGTGACTGGTTTCCCCCTATCTCCTCCACCTTCCCCTCCTGGTATCACTACTCTCATTATTGGTCCTGATGGGTTTATCTGTCCTGGATTCCCTGTGCTGCGAGCTCTTCTCTGTACCAGTGTACATCCTCTTGTCTAGTCGGGTTTGGAAGGTAGAATTGGGGTCATGATAGTGGGATGGGGAGGAAGCATTTAGGAGCTAGAGGAAAGTTGTATGTTTCATCGGTGCTGTGCTGCACCCTGACTGGCTTGGCTCCTCCCCGATCCGTTCCTTTTATTGTTAATTTTGTTGCCGATTTTCAGTTCATCGATGCAAAGACAATTTTAGAGGAACGTGAGGGACAGGTTCCAGCTCACTTCTCTTGTGTCCAGGAAGAAGGAGGGGGAGAGGCAGGGAGGGGAGTGGATTCTGTCCAGGTAGGCGGTTGACATGGCCAAGGAGGATCCTTAGTCCTTTTGACCCCACTCATCTCCACTGCTCAGTGTTTGCTCTCCAGAAGCATGGCTTGCCAAATCCAAAGACGGCTCCGTCTGGCTGAGGTGGCAGCCCGGAGCCCCTTCCCTCTCCAACTGTGTTCTCTCTTCTGCCCCTCTAGGATCTGCTGGTGCTGAGTGCATGAGCGGCAGAGGCAGCGGGGCTGCCACAGCCCCGGGAGACACCAGCCCCCGCACTGAAGAGGCTCCGCTTGGACACCATCCCCAAGCCCTACATCCCTTCTGCCTTCCACAACAGCTCCCTCCTCCAGCCCTCCAACTCTCTTCCCGGCCCCCACCTCAAGGAAAGATCCCCACGGACAAGCCATCCCTCCCATGTCCCCGGCCAGCACCAGGTGGAGGGAGAGAGGTCACCGCAAAGACTGCGGTCCTGTGGGCCCTACTTGGGGCTCCCCGGGCAGACCCCACAGATGCCACACTTTACCCTCCCAATAAAAGATTCCACTTTCCCAGCAGTCAGTTGGGGTGAGTCTCTGTGAAGGACCCTCCCTCAAGATCTGGTGCTTTTCTTCTCTCCTTGGTGGTCCTGGGGCACTGGCAGGTGAACTCTAAGTGGACAGAGAGTACTTCAGCTAACGATTGGGGGCAAAGTCTGACACAGCTGAGGACCCACTGCTGAGCAGAAAGGGCATCTACTGGGCTCCTATGACCACCATCCAGTGCTCCCTGGTCTGGTCCCTCTCTCCCTCATCCCCTTACACTCCTCAGCACATCGGAGTGCCCAGCCCATGGCAACAAATTAAAAACCATCAGACTTCACAGAACCAGAGTGATAACCTTAGAGCATAACTCCTGTGTGTCGTGGGCCAGGGTCTCCTCTCCGTTCTCAGCTTTCAGCCTCTCCCCTCTTCTCTTGCAAGCTTGTGACTTATTGAGATCTCGAAGAGTGTTAGGTGTATCCTACTACACCCCAGATGTAGGTGAAAAGGCAAACAAAACAACAGCCCCAACCAACCAACCAACCATCCAACCACAAAATAACTCCTTCTGTCCCATCTTCCTGAAAGCTAATTTTTGTTGAATATCTAGCTACCAGCCAAGTCCTAGATTGAGACTTTGGGACCCGACTCATTTAAATTTTCATGGAAAACCCCTTCATTGGCCAAAGCAAGACCCCAAACCTTCGGAGGGCTGTTGCTGTTGTCAGTTGCTATCGAATCATTGCTGCCGCGTGGTGACACCATGTCAGCAGAGTAGAATTATTCTACAGACCGTCATCCAACTTGCATCATCAAAGTCTCTTCCTCAAGGGATAAGGAAGGGGAAGAAGACCCGATGTATCGACGTGCACGAGTAATGACTACCCCGGGTCTTCCTGGGTAGGAGGCTGGAGGAGTGCTAGGGTAGAATCGTGGCTCTCATGGCTACGAAGCTGTGGCGCAGGCCCTGCAACAGTCCGTCTGAGCTTGTGATGATGATCTCCCAGGTCTTGCTTGGCTGGGCTACAGGCACATGAAATGGCTGAAAGCGAGCGGAGCAACTTTTTTTGATTGGACAAAGAAAGGACTGGGACTTGGGTGGTCGAGGTGGCTCTCTATGCGATGATTCAGGGGTCTTTACTAGAGTTTTCTATGTCAGCATCTGGCATGTAAATACATGCTCATCTCAGGATGACTCAGCACAAGAACCAGTCGGTGCCCCTCAGTTGGGGGAGGCCGTGGGTGTGTGTGTGTGTCACAGAGATAGTGCTTTGCCCATATCTGGGCATTAACGGAGGTGTTTTATTTTGGCTTCAGACATTAAAACGTTAGGTGGAGGACATACTGGTCACCTCTGTGCAGAGCTGGCAGGCCTGATCTGGTTCTAGCCAGTTTGACAACCCTGCCCCCTTGTTTTCCTTTGCTGTTTCAGTTACCTAATGAGGGAATTAAGCACCACAGTTCCAACTTAAAGCACCATCCCACCGCTCTCTGTCTGATGGATGGACTTGGTTTCTAGAAATAAAGGACAGTAAAAACTAGACTCCTCCCCACTTCGATCAACGGTCCCTCAGTCCTATCCTTATGCTCCTGAAAACCCTGCCTATAAGATACGGAGGGAGGCAGTTGCTTCATATTAAACAATAATTACACAACATGCATCCACGGTGGGTCTCCCCTACCAAGAGAACAGCTTTGCACATGAGGGGTCTCACTCCCGACATCAGGAGGGGAGGCCTGATGGGGCCTACAGTAGGTTACATGTTGGGCTGTGAGAATGGTGTGGAAGCCACATCTGACCACCTCCAGCTCCCCAGGCTGACTGTCACAAGGCAGCTGGATTCAATGATTCACACACAATGCTCATGATTATGAGGCTTATTAAAGGTGGCAATTCAAGTGGGAAATTCTCAGCATGCACTTGCTCAGCCAGGACAGTTGCTTCTCTGTCATGCCAGCAGACACGTCACTCGTGGGCCCTCAGGCTCTTGGCCCGCTCTCCGCTCTGCGCAGGCAATGTTACAAAACTCTTTCAGGGCTGCCCATAGATACTGACCACCCCTGGTTTGTCAGTCTGTCCTCCTGTGGTGGCTTGTGCGTTGCTATGATGCTGAAGGCCATGTCAGTGGCATTTCAAACACCAGCAGGGTCCCCCAGAGTGAACAGGTTTCAGCAGCGCTACCAGACTGAGAACGGACGATGAAGAAGGAATAGACTATCTACGTCAGAGGAGTTAGTCGTTGAACCCCCTGCGGATAGAACCAAAACATTGCCGGTGGCTGAAAGCTGGATGACTAGCGCCAGACCATTGTGAGCGATCGTGTCAAAGATGAGTTCCTAAGGTCAGAAGGCACTCATACAACAGCGAGGAAGAGCTGCCTTCTCAAAGTAGAGTCTACCCTAAGCACAGATGGAGTGAAGCCTGCCGGGGTAAAACCTTCAGGATCTTAGGATCTTCACTTGCCGATCAAGGTCATTTTGCATGACTTAAATGGAGAGAAACAGCCGCAAGCATCAGTTAATAATTAGAGCTTGGAATGTATGAAGCACGAATCTCGGAAAATCAGAAGTCGTTAAAGATAAACGGAGCACATAACGATCAATATTGTAGGCATTAGCGAGCTGAAATGGACGAGAATTGGCCATTTTGAATCAGATAATCATGAGTTACTATGTGGAATGATACAATCAAGAGGAACAGAGTTCCAGACATCGTCAACGAGGGCATTTTAAGCTCTATCTCAAAGCAGATGCTGTCTGTGCTAGGATGTCTATCTGCATACAAGAAAACCAGTCAGCTCAAATTGCCTTCAAATACTATTCAAATTACATACCAAATACTAGTGATGCAGGAATTGAATTCCACCATATCTTACGCCGTCCACTGTATCCCTGAAGGGATACAGTACACGTGTTATACATTCATCATAGCTATCAGCTTCCCCTTCCTCCCCCCACATCCCCTGCTCCCCATCCTTCCCCTATCCTCATGGTATCACTATTCCTCTTATTGTTTCTGAGAGGTTCCGGTCTAGCAGGATTTGTGAGGTAGAACTGGGGTTATGATGGTGAGGGGAGGAAGTCTCAAAGAACTAGAGGAATGTTGTGTGTTCTATCGGTGCTATACTGCACCCTGGATGAACCATCCCTTCTGCTGACCCTTCTGTGAGGGTCAATTGTCTACAGATAGGCTCTGGGTCGCCACTCTGACCCCTTTCCTTCACCTTGATGTAATTATTTGTTTTTGATCTTCCAATACCTGATCCTGTTGACACCACTTCTTCTGTTACTTCCTTGTTAGATGGCCGCTTGTTACTTCCTTGTTAGATGGCCGCTTGTTTACCTTCAAGCCCTTAAGACCCCAGAGGCTATATGTTTGATAGCCAGGCACCATCAGCTTTCTTCACCACATTTGCTTATGCACCCATTTGTCTTCAGCGATTGTGTCAGGAAGTTGGGTATCACACAGTACCAGATTATTAGAACAAAGTGTTCTTGGGTTGAGGAAAGAGTTAAGTAGAGGACCAGAGTCTGCTATCTTGATACTTTCAACATATAAATATATGTACATGGACCAATATCCCTATCTTTATATATTAATATGTTTACATATATACATGCCTATATTTATACTTCTCTCTCTATAGCTTCAACCTCCTAGCTCTTTCCTCTCTTTCCTTTTACTTTCCACCTGCCTCACCATCATGTTCACCCTTCATTCGGCATTCGGTGCTTCCTCTCAGCTACATTATGGTTTACCTTCAAAGTTACGAAGAGGAACACAGCCTGCAATTGTAAGCATTTTAAAAAATATATTTTTCTTTTTACAATGGGCTGTGAGGTGCCCTGGTATTGGAGCTGTACTCTGATGTCCCTCAGGGAAGGGGGACCAGATTAGCTGAGGGGGTTGGGGGCTGAATGGATCTGAATTCTTCCCCAACTGCACTCCGGGGTCACTCCTGGCTTTCTCCTGAACAGCTGTATCACGGGATAAATCCCAGGGGCTCCTCAATTGCTGCAAAATAGTGACTAATTATCTATCATTACCCATGCTGGTAGGCATGGAGCTTGGGAGAGATGAAAGTGGATGGCCATGTAGTCACTCCATTCCTGTCTGGGGAGGGAGGGTGCAAAACCAGAAAATGCAGGAGAGGGGTAGATAGCAGAGAGCGGAACTCTGGTGTGAGGCCTTGTGGCTAGTTCTTGGAGCTGTCTCTGAGCCTGGGATTATGACCCCCTTTAGACAGCAGCCTGGGGAAATTACTGTGCACAGGGAGTCTCAGATCTTGGGCATACGAAGGGGTGGTGGATGCAATCCCACTGGATCTGGTGAGGGATTAGTGGAACCCTCAGGCAGACGTGGTAAACTTAGAGCATTTCAACAAGTTCTAGAATTGCTCCGTGGATAAAAATCACGGGGGAGGTCTGAACCAGGCCCTAGTGCACTGAATCTATGGTTAGCATCGAGCCTCCCGATATTGGCCTCCTGACTTCTTAATTTTCTGATCTAACAACAGGAGTACCGGGTGGGATTCTACCTGGACACCATCTTGACTCTCTGGACACATTTTCTGAGGATGCAGCTAAACATATGACACTAGGATGGGGAAAGAGTTGTTGGAATGGAGCACACCTTTAGGGAGCAACCTGGAGAGATGATGGACAGGCTCTTTATCTTGGTTTGAGTGGTGGTTGTATGGGTATTAAACTCAAGAATTAAGACCCATTGATCTGTAGTATCTGTGCATTTTACTTGATGGTGCAAGGATTAAACTCTTAGCTGGTAACTGAAAGATATGAGTTTAGCATCTTTGCTCTTCTGGAGAAAGATACAGCGTTGGAAAT